GAATCTTGACCTCGGTCGCTGGTACAGACCTCACTGCGTTCGGTCTGTACTGGTGATCTCAGTCAAGATTCTCCCTTACAGACCTCCCGCTCAGTTAATGAGAACTAAATAATAAAAAAACAACAATGACAGCTCTGGGCATTTGAATCTAACCAGGAAAATTTTGTGTACTTGGAACAGAATTCTGCAATCTCTGTTAGCTAATTAACACCCTATATAAATATCTTTAATTATGTCTTTACTCCTACAAAGATGCATGTGTAACTTTTCCTTGTGATTCTAATCTGTAATCAAAACTATAGCAAAATTTTCAGAGCAGTTGGTTGTCACCAATCCAATGTAAGCGCAGTGTACACGTCATGCTTGCAGTCAAACAGCATATTAATAGGACAGTGTTATACAACACATCATGCCTGTGTGATTGGACAAAACCTGTCATGTGGGGCAAGCTCTTGTGGGGCATTTCATCGAGTTAAATATTGTTGCTTTTTAAGGAAAGGTTGAACTAATTAACAATTGGTTCATGCTTTAGCGTGCACTGTCGAGTTATGGAGCACGTGAGAAGTTTGGAGAGCGCGAACGAAGCGTAAGAGTGGCCCGAGGCGATAGCCGAGGGCGACTCTAACTTCTTGAGTGCTTTAGAACATAGCCGGTGGAATTGTGCATCAAAATCCGACGCGAAAAACGGACAACAATATCAGTTGAAACGAATCGTGACGGCGCTGATGCAGAGTCTCCTTTTCCTTTGTTTTTCTCTTTTTCTGCCTCATTTAAGAACTGTAGCCCAAGGGAAAAGGTCAAAACATTGTCTTCGTTTTTGGACTAGTAGGCCGAGTTTCTGTTTGTATCCATTATTGTCGCGAAATGTATTATTTTTCCCCGCGCTAACAATGGCCGCTCGCGCGAAAAAAAAAATTTTTGGTGAAGTCGGATTTGCTGACGCTATCAACGTGCACTATCGGGATTTTGAGCACGCTTACATACAATGAATTTGATTGCACAACTCTGCTAGCTATGTTCTAATGCCAGTTGGATTCTTGGAATTTTGTTATAATTTTGATTAATTGGCATCAGGACTTGATGTCATCCAACTCTGTCAACAGGGATGTGGTCTAGCAGCGCCCAGTGGCCCCTGGCGCATTACTTTTGCTGTTGGGTGAATCAGGAATCTTAGTTTTTTCATGAAAGCATATGCTGGGCACCCTGGATTCCAGTTTCAGAGCACTGGGCTCCCCTTGATTTTTCTTAGAGCACAGCCTTGGTCTATTTTAAAACTTGTAATTCATTGATTGAACCTCCACTTCACAGTTAACCGATTTTGTCAATCCTTTCCAGGGCTCAGCACTAACTTTTCAATGTACTAGCCAAGTGGCTGGTGACTTCTTAGATGTTATGACAATGTCAGTTCGTTTACTAGCCAAACTGGCTGGTGGAAACTGAAAACCACTAACCAAAACTGAGTTTCTACTAGTCTGTGGCTAGTGGGCTACCGTTAGTGTCAAGCCCTGCTTTCATTCCTAAGATCTCATTTGTAGCTCTTGTTAATCTGCTACACAATTCTTATGATGTGGGGAGAATCTTGTATTGGATCAACCAATTTTCCCCTCATTGATATTTCTCTTTACTCTCCTTACTTGTCTGCTTGATATTGTATTGATACAGTAGGGAAAAAGTCTGAATTGGTCACTCTTGGGAGTCAAAGGGTTAATCAGCTCCGTGATTACAGTCACCTAATTGGACTCCACTCAGTCCTGTTATCGTTATTTATTATATGGCTGTGTCTCACAATGACTGGGAACTACCGAATTCACAAATTTGATTGGCTGAAATCAATATTGAAAGCGGTTTAGATTTTCCCATCTAGACCGGCATCTAGACCAGTCTAGGAAAAACAAGTAAAAAGTATATAAAAAAACGGCATATAAGACACAGCCATATAATAAACATCTTATTAACCGAGCTAGGTCAGTCTGTATGGGAGAATCTTGACCTCGGTCGCTGGTACAGACCTCACTGCGTTCAGTCTGTACTGGCGACCTCAATCAAGATTCTCCCATACAGACCTCTCGCTTGGTTAATAAGAACTAATTAGATAATTAATTAATTAATTAACTAATTAATTGGAACACACATATGATTTTCACAAATTCAAATTCATTGATTTGTCACTTCGACAGGTTTAATACAAACGAACAACATAATGACCAACTCAGTATCTGCACTAGTATCGTAGAGGTCGTGGGCTCAAATACCATACAAGCCTGAATTTTTTTCAGGCCTTATTTCCACTACTATGCATTAAGTAGGGTTCGTTACTGTGAGGATCGCTTTCATACATACCGTTATTTACCTTGCAAACATCTTATCAGAAAAGATGAGCTTATTAGTGACAGGTTGAAATCTACAGCTGATTATAGAAAGGTTTATTGAAAAAAGCACCAGTACACGCCACAACTCCTGTAGGCAGTTTTCAGGTTGCAGCTCTCGGACTTCAGGATTTCTGGGAAATTTGAGAAACTATCACTGTCAGGAAAAAGGCATAGCGGGTTTGATGAATCTATTTTGTTCGATTCACAAGACAGACTTTTATTTCTAGTCTTGAGATGAAAAATGAGAAAAAAGAACAGACTGACCTTAATGAAAGACAAAATCAATGTAAACTCAAAGAGAGGGGATTCTAAGTGCCCTAATGAAAAAATGATTACAAAGTAATATAATTGTATTGTTTTGTTCCTCTTGCATTCATGTGCATGTTGGTATTCATCCCCTTCTTAACAATTGTTTTGTCAATATTTATTTGTTTCACCTATTACAATAGATTGATTACTGGATACCCAGATTACTGTTCAAGATTTTTACAGGCACTTTGACCTTCTTTGTTACAACCTTTCTGCAAACAGCTGTATGCATAAACTCAAATCCCTTGTTTAGTTTTGCCAGGAAATGTATGACACTTAGTACTAACTTAAAGAGAATCACTTCTGTAACTGTATCTGGGAGTTCAAAGGTAAAAGGACTTGCACCCTACTCACACCAGAAATGTGTTAAAGCTGTTTTGTTTAACAAAGTTTTCTTTTCGTTTAAATTTATAGCTTTATAGAGGCTGCTTAAACAGATTAATTTGGTAATATCAACTAAGTTGAAATTGTAAATTGGCCACTGTAACGGGTTAAAAAGCTGACATTTCGAGCGTTAGCCCTTCGTCATTCACTCTGACAAAGGGCTAACGCTCGAAACTGTCAGCTTTTTAACTCTTTACAGTGGCCAATTTACAATTTCAACTTAGTTGATATAACCAAATTACCTTGTTACCCCCACCGACGCAGCACCACAGTTTCTTTAGAAACTTACTCCCTTTATTCATTTGCTTAAACAGATGTTTGTCAACTTCAAAATTGATGTAGTATAAATTATTGAAAATACAAGTTGGTGAATACTTAAATCTTAGGGAAAATTCAGTTTTTCAGATCTTTGTTTCTAATTTTCATTCTATTAAAACTGGTTTAACTAAACGTGTTTTGTTGGTGTGATTGGGGTATGAGCCAGTCATCATCAAGTGTGGAGAAACAATTTGGCCCTTAGAAAAGGTTGTATGTCATAAAAAATATCACTACTGACAACAATTATGCTACTAAAAAAAACAAACAAACAAATAAAGTATCTTCAAGGTTTTTTTAAGGTTTTTTTTTTATTTTTTTTTTATTTATTTATTTGCCAGGGAGCTTACATTTTTTAGTGCAAAATTTATTCCAGGCTGAAATTTTTCCCCAAATCATGGAATGGAACGAAGAAAAGTTAAATGTGTTCAGGTTCACAAATAGTCTTTACCACCTATTTCTTTACTAGTTGCAGGTCATGCACTCCAATACCTCTTATAACACATACACTGTGGAGAATGCTGAGTCATATCATGAAGTCTTCAAAGTTCTTGATAGTCTTGGAATGGCAGACTTAAAAGTGACTTTCCAGGAACACTGTATTCAGGTATCTGATAATAGCATTTACACATAGTGACTAAACCTTCTAAAGGTAAAGCCAAGTGGCCCAACAGGCTGACAATTTACTCTGGTTTCTGAAGCATGAAGCAACTAGGAGTATTTCTACTCCCCCCTGGATGGGATGCTAGTACATTGCAGGGTTACCCCCAGCATGAAATTTACCAGTACCCATTTAAGCTGGGTGAAAAGAGGCACTAGGGAAGAACACAACACATTATGTCCACAGCCAGGGCTCAAAACTGGACCACTCAATCCCAAGTTGAGTGCACTAACCATGAGGCCACCATGCCTCACACCACTGGACCCTCTAGCATGCAGTCAGCGAGCCACTTTGTGAATGTGCCTATGCTTTAGACAAGAGACATCTTTAATCATGAATGCACAATTGCTGATAATACAATCTGATACATGATGTTCCAAGTACTTGAAGGTTCTACTTACATGCAAGTCATGCGCATGTGCATACATGTGTAGGTCTGTGTTGTTCACTACTGTGGGACATTTTTTCTTTTAAAGGACCAAACATTGCATTATGTTGAAACAGAAGATGAGCTTAAACAACTACTGAGGGTACAGTTGATCTTTTTTATTTATATTTACTTTTAAATTGATCATAACATGAAACAGTGTCACACTGTCATCAAAAACATTTTCTAGACAGTTTGCAGATGTTCCATGTCTATTATTATAATAGTGTTCCAGCATTGAACTTTACAATTGAATGTTTCTTGAAATCACTTCTTTGTTTACAATTTGTTAGCTTTTATAAGTGACTTTAAATCAGCTGCATACAAAAAATGTATGGTATTATTGATTAATTATTTACTTGCATTATAATACAATTCTATAGGGTTTCCTCTGATGTACGTCTATTCTTTACCTTTTTCTTAACTTGGCTATACCTATGAAGCTTGCAGTTGTTTGTCATGTTTCATGGGTTAGAGCTAGACTGGTATTAATGCAATATGCATGCAATATCCATGCAATATGCATGTCCAGTTAACTCTTCCACTCCCAAGATCTCATTAATTCTCCTTACTGTCTGACTCACAATTCTTATGAAGTGAGTTTGGAGGATTTGTTTTGGATCAACTGATGATTCCCTTCAGGGCGCGACACTAACTTTTCAACTTACTAGCCAAGTGGCCAGTGACAACCTACGTGTCATGACAATTTCAGTTTGTTTACTAGCCAAATTGGCTCGTGGAAATTAAAAACCACAAGCCAAAACTGAATTTCTACTAGTCTGTGGCTAGTTGGGTACTGTTAGTGTCAAGCCCTGCCCTTTATTGATAATTAAACAAAACTCTCTACTTGGTGCGAGAATTTTATGCACACACATTTGTCCCTGGACATTAACTGTTCCAAGATGCCAACAATTTTCCAAGAGCAAAGCTTGAGGAAAACTGTTAGAGTTTACGAACAGCTTTTTTTGCTGCGTGGCATCTTTTCTTTTGAGTGTTCTCTGGTACAACCTTATGAACGAAAAAAATATTTCTCTTCTACAGATCTGTAACAACCACTAAACCATCTCTCATATTGAATTAAGGTGGCTCCATATAGTATTTTACAAGGCTTTGGGTAGTACATATGCATGAATAATTCAGTCTCCCTTGGCAAATGTTTATCTCACAGCACTCGATAGAAGATCAGTAATGAAAGCCTACAGCCTTAGACTCTATATGGAAGACCCTTTCAGAACCTTAAAGTTGTTGCTATGGCAACTATTGATAGAAATGCTTGGCTTGTTTTTTTTACCTACCTGACTTCTAGATGGTGTTTCTCGGTTTCTACGCGGTAAATTTTCTTTGTTTTTGGGGAAACAGAGTTAACATTCAAGGAGTTTCAACTGATAAAGGCACAAGAAAATCTGTACATAATTTTCGGAGTAATTCGCAATTTTCATTTTTGACACGTATTACATTTATGTATGTATAAAATTCGATGATTTTTTTTGTAAGAGCTAGAAAAAGAAAAATTCCATCTATGTGCCAATTTTCAAAAAAATTCACCGTCTGGAAGGCGCCCAATATGCGCCTTTAGATCACTCTAAAACCCTCGTTTTTCGTGACGTCATCAAAACAGAAATTCTTCAAGTTACGGTAATGCGCATGCTCTCGTCGCTCTTTCTTCAGCACATGCTAGCTGAAAATTAGCCGAGAAATAGACGCTTACTTTTCCCCACCACAGCGAAGAGTATACCTGCGTGTGGAAAAACATATGGAAATGCGTGTTAACTTGTAGTTTCCTCCGCTGCTTTGAAGTATTCAACGATCTTGGCTAAAATACGGGTTGTTTTTGTTACTCGCGGGGCTTTGCAAGTTGTTGAAGATGGAGGGAGAGACAATACGCCAACAAGCCCTTTTGCTCCGAACTTCTCGAAAACATTTTTGAGATCTCGGTATGAAATGCCACTTCCGGCTATTTTTTCAGCAATTTGTTGCTTGATGGGAAATTCTGCGTTTGTTGGATGGTAAAGAGTTCCTCGGAACGTCTGCAGGAGTTCATAGCGACGATCAAGGTATTTCATGTCGTTTTCTGCGTACTGTGTTGATGACATGTTTTCTATCAACATGTCCTCTGAAACGTTCAAACAGGAGTCAAAGACTATTCTTCTTAAAGCTTTAACATCCTCCATTGCATCGTGTGCGGGGAAAGGTTCATGGAAAAGTGTCTGGTAAATGGATTGTTGATTTAATTTAACTGTGGAACCATCCGATGAGACCAGAGAGGGATGTTTACGTTTGACCAAGTTCTTCATCACAGGGAGAGTGTCAGAAAAGAAAACATTACGACAGGAAAGTTTTTCACAAAGTTGATGTCCACCTTGACGAAGAAGGGTTGGAGTATCGAAAACCCGAGAGTTGTGCCCGATTAAAACAGTATAAATATTATTATCGCTTTTCACACGCCTGACAGTTTTCTCCAAGAAGGTTAGAAAATTTTCCAGTGACTTTCCAAGTGACGCAGTTTCTACTGGTTGATTGTCTTTGAACAGGGTCCTGACTCCTCTGGCTGTTCGGACACTTAAACCATTTACCCTTGATCGTACTTAAAGATCAACCCACA